AAAAAAAAAAAAAAAAAAAAAAAAAGCATTACAGACAGCCCATACTCTCCAGAACAAGGGTTAGCAGACTTTGGCCCAGTGAAATCCTGCCTGATGCCTGTTTTTACAAAAAAAAAATAATATTCAACAGAGACCATTTGTGACCAGCTAAGCCTCAAATCTTTACTTTTGGCCCTGTAACAGAAAGCTTGCCAACTTCTGCTCTAGAAGCTTGCTATTTCAGCTACAAGTGTGACAGTTTTCTCTATTCGACTTTACCCAGACGCTATATGGTTTAAGGATGTGAGCTTTGACTTGGGATTATAGCTCACCTTTCCTCATTGATGAGCTATGTGACTTTGAACTAGTGCCTTGACCTCCTTGAAACTTCTGTTCTCATATACCTAGCTCATGATTGTTTTGAGAATTATTGGGACTGTATGTCTCTTGCTGGGGATTAGTAAGCGTTAATAAGTGCGCTGTTTGTTGGGTACTGGGTGTTAAATTTGGTTAAGGAGGAGACAGTTTTTCTGGTAGCCTTCCCCAGTCATTCTTCAGTTAAGTAGTGTAAGAAATACAAATGAAGGGGATTGTTTATTTTTATTTATTTATTTTTTTCTGAGTTTGGAGTCTCACTCTGTTACCCTGGGTTCACAGCAAACAGCACAGCTGGTTCAGTATTGTTTTGTCTTTGAAGTATTGTGTCATGTAAATTGTGGCGCTGTCTAGTCTTTTTGTATCAGCACCGTGTTTTTATGTTCTCTTTGAGTTTGCTTATAAGAAAATGGAGACTTAAATTTCCTTTTCCTACCTTTCTTTAGACTCATGATAGTAAAGAACATCTGGCAATGATGGAGCGAATATTAGGACCCATACCAACACACATGATTCAGAAAACAAGGTATCTTTTAAAACTACAGAAAACCAGCATTGTTGTAATACTGTAATGCTTGTCCACAGACTTCAGATTCTGAAATCCTTTTTTTTGAGTTGGAGTCTCACTCTGTCACCCAGACTGGAATGCAGTGGCCGCTCCTGGCCACTGCAGCCTTGACCTGCTGGGCTCTGGCGATCCTTCTGCCTCCGCCTTCCAAGTAGCTGGAACTACAGGCACATGCTACCATGCCCGGCTAATTTTTGATTTATTGTAGAGATGAGGTCTCGCCAAGTTCCCCAGGACGGTCTCGAACCCGCGGGCTCAGGCAATCCACTCACTTCAGCCTCCCAAAGCGCAGGATTACAGGCTGAGCCACCAATCCTGGCTTGAACTCTTTTTCTGTAATGGGATAACTTGTAACTGTATCTTACTATTCCTTTTTTTTAAAGTCGTGTTTTTAAAAATTAATATAATATAAAAATATTTACCCTGTGATCTAGTAAACAAAATGGTGTTTTTTTTAATACTCAGGTTCACCTTTACATACAAGTTTTTCTAAGTTGATGTTGTAGTAATACATCATAATGAAAAGCTTGTTTTGTGGTCATACCAGTCTAAGTTTGAAATGTATTCTCTCGTTAATGTCCTTGTACAAGGTACTGTTTCTAAATACATCTTCACCACAGAAGTCACATAGTGTTTATTTAAGATTTCCAGCCCTGTTTCAGAGCTGGTGAAATCAGAACTTTCAGCAGTGTATTCAGGAGGCCTCTGTTTTTAAGGCTAGCAGGCATGATTCCATGTATGGTGTTTGGGAACGGCTTAGTTGGGATATTAGAATGGCCAGTGTATGAATAGGAATTATTTGTAATTTAGATGTTTTCGGTGGAGGACAATGAAGATGTTAGCTAAGGTATCTCATGTATAATTGTTGCTGAGATTTTTTCAGAGTTGTATGCATGTGTATCTGTCCATCTAGAGAGAGCTGCTCATGCTTCCTTCTGTCCCACATTTCTGGTGAGGGCAGGGTAAAGATGTGGATCTTTTTTTATTTTACTAATCCAGATTTCTTTTTCCTGTAGAAAACGCAAGTACTTTCACCATAACCAGCTAGATTGGGATGAGCATAGTTCTGCTGGTAGATATGTTAGGAGACGCTGCAAACCATTGAAGGTACATTTTTTTAAAAAAGGTTAAAAGTTTTTGAAAGATGTGTTTTTGTTGTTATTAATATACATTTTAAACAAAAATATTTTCTCCCCTAGGAATTTATGCTTTGTCATGATGAAGAACATGAGAAACTGTTTGACTTGGTTAGAAGAATGTTAGAATATGAGCCAACTAAAAGAATTACCCTGGATGAAGCATTACAGCATCCCTTCTTTGACTTATTAAAGAAGTGAAATGGGAATCATTGGTCTCACTATATACTTCTCTAGAAGTTACTTAAGACTGTGTCAGTCAACTAAGCATTCTCATATTTTTGTAAACATTAAATTATTTTGTACAGTTAGTGTAAATACTGTATGTTTTGTATCAATAGCATAATTATCTTGTTAAGCAAGTATAGTCTTGATGTATGAAATATAAAAGTTAAAGTTAATTTTTCTTTGTGAGGTTAATTACCATTTTAAAGACCTTTGGAATATCCTTTGTGTCCAGTGGTAAATGTGATTGATCTTGTCTTTTGTACATGAAAGTCAACTTTGAAGTGATTTTTTTTTTTAAGTAAAAGGAAATCTTGACTACTTTTTATTCTCAAATGAATATTCTTTCAATACCTCTAATTTAGAACTTTTCACTTCAAGAGTTTTTTCAAGAGTAATTGAAAACAGGTAATAATTATTATTAACTCTAGGTAGATAGGTACTGGAAACCAAAACTTACAGAAAATGTTTACTGTTAGAATTTTATTAAGTTCTAAATATTATGTTCTGTTTCATTGATATCTGGTGGTAAGTAGACATTCATGGAAAGACACCCAGTTTGTCTGTTTTGATTGCTTGTTTAATAAAACCACATACACACTTCAAGATTAAAGTCTAACTTGGAAAATTATATTTTCCAAGGACTCTGAGTCACAGGCATAAAAATAGGAATTCTGATGATTGAGAGTTTGGTTTTTAATGCCAAGTCCTGAGGAGTCTTGAAATTGTCCAGTATCTATTTTCTTATCAAATGAAGTAAATACTTAAACCTATGAAAAGTTAAGGCTGTTATTAAGCAATTTATATTTGTGTTAATCCTTACTGGGAAAAAAGGATTTGATTGGAAAAAGCATTTTGGAGAGAAAACTCGGCAGAAATTTCCAGAACTTTATTGATTGGTTTATCATAAACTTTTGACTACGGGTAGTTGGTTTTTTTGTTTTTACACTGTACCTGTTTTCTTTATTTCCCCCCCCCCCGAGTTGGAGTCTCATTCTATTGCTCAGGCACGCTCACGGCCACCCCAGCATCGGCCTGCTGGGCTCTGGGATCCTTCCGCCTCAGACTTCCAAGTAGCCAGAACTACAGGCATGCGCTACCATGCCTGGCTATACAGTGTACCTGTTTTCACATAAAGACTGCATGGAAGGGCAACCCCCTCAGTTCCCCTCTCACTATGGGAGCTTTTCTGTCTTCTCAATAAATCCTGCTTTAAAAAAAAAAGATTACATGGTAGGTGGAGTGTAGTGGTTCACACCTGTAATCCTAGTACTCTAGGAGGCTGAGGTAGGAGGATAACTTGAGGCCAAAAGTTAGAGACTGCCCTGGGCAACATAGCAAGGCTTCATCTCTAATTTTTAAAAAATCATAAAGAAATGCATGCTACTTAATTTAGCAAACGGGAAAAAGGTGGTGGTCATGTTCAGCCTGCCAAGTACAAATATTTTTTTTTGTAGAATTAATTCATAATTGCTTTTTCAGATAACGGGTTATTTTTGTGTTAAAAGTATCCCTGTTTCATAGTGGATTACACCAAGATTTGAGTTTTTATCTGTATGTGGGGTTTTGGTTTTTTTGGTAGAGATGATGTCCAGGCTGGCCTCAAACACCTGGGTTCAAGCGGTCCTCCCACCTCAGTGCCGGGATTATAGGCATGAACCACCGTGCCCAGCCCTTATCTCTGTTTTAAACACAGAAAGCATGAGATTAGGATCCATAGATAGGGTTCCCTATGTTATCTAGGGGCAGCGCTTGTCAATATAGTAAGGCTTATTCCTAAAGGTGATGAGAAATTTAAGAAAAAATTTTACTGTCAAATCACTGCATAAACTATGTTTTAGCCTCTGAGGCAATCCAAATGCAGCAAATCCACTTTCAGAGTAATTGCGCTACATTATGTATGGTAATGCTTTCTAAAGGGTGTTAAGGGAAAGAAAAAGGTTTTCTGAGCCTAGCGATGCTGACAGGTCGAGGTGTTTGCTGTCCTTTCTTTTCCCTCCATTTCATCTCAATGCCGCTGTCCCACCCCAGCCTCCTGTCCTTTCTCCGACAAGTGCTGCAGTCTCCCCGCTTGTTGTTGACTTTCCACCAGAAACAACTCTCAGAGTAGCTGATTTTGGATGGAGGAGGAAAGAAAAGGATCCACGTTATTTCTTACTAAGAAGTTAATGGCTGCAAACCGTTTCTCTTCTGAAAAATATCTCCTTTGCAAAGGGCATTTGCTAATTCCTAGGCCGTTCATGGAATTTGAGGAATTAAAGTGAAACTCGGAAAAAAGGGTAGAAGAAATGCCTAGTGACGACAGTGGTACCTTGGGGATCATGGGACTGTCTTCTGCCAACCTTCCTCCCCTTCTCAGGTGACTGCTCTTAATTGTGTTTTTTTTTCTTGCTCTTCTGCACTCGTTTTCTGAAAGCTCCAAGGGTTTGTTTTTGTTTTTGATAGTGCCTAGAGCTACAGCAAGGTTTAGAATGACCAAGGTATAAATGTGAGTTTGTCACTTAAGTATTTTTAAAAATAATTTAACACCTCATAGTTGAGTATTTCTTTTTTTGAGTTGGGAGTCTCACTCTGTCACCCAGGCTGTAGTGCAGTGGCACACTCATGGCCATCCCAGCGTTGACCTGCTGTGCTCCGGTGATCCTACCGCTTCAGCCTTCCAAGTGGCCAGAACTACAGGCGCGTGCAGGTTCTAAGCACATACCACATCCTGAGAGAGCACCACACCCAGCTAATTTTTTTTATTTATTGTAGAGACTGGTCTTGCCAAATTGCCTGGGCTAGTCTTGAACCCACAGACTCTCAAAGTGCTGGGATTACAGGCTGAACCACCAAGCCTGGCCACTTGGTATTCTTACTAGCCATTTTTAAAGTACAGCTGAATAGGTTATTCTATTTCCTGTTGCTAATTTTTCAGGAGGTTTTCCATTCATCCATGCTTTCATCAAAATTTTCCAAGTGACTTACACTGACTCCTACAGACAGGATGGAGAGGAACTGCTCCTAGGTTTTATAGTTCATAACACCAAAAACTTCGAGTAATGTTGGAGGGCTAGGTGGACAAATTGGGAGTTGGCAAAGTATCCCAATAGGTATGACTGAAATGTGACTTCCTCTCAGGCCTGCTAGAATCTAGCACTGCTTTCCTGTGAGAAACCTTACTGAGTCGAAAACTGGGTCAGTTTATTATGCCCAGCTCTACTGTAAAATGACTTGGAGTGGAATGGAAAATCATGGTTCATAGAAAGCTTTCTTTCTTAGATTTCATTCACATTTTTCTTTACTCCATGAGGTAAAGTTGGTATGGCAGTTTGAAATGCCATTCTGTTTTAAGTAGGTAGGCAGATGTCAACATCTACGTCTTATTTTGACATCCTAGAATGAAGACCAGGTGACCTGGGTTTTTAACTCCCTTTTAGTTTAAAGATTGTGATTCCTGCAAAATTTGATGCAAGTAAAATATTTTAAATTTTAACACCCAGTACTTGATTCACAAGCACCATTTTCAAATGACATAGAAGAACGCATTATAATCAGTAATGGCTTACAATTGTAGTCTTAGGCTTAGTTTTTAGTCTGGCTAGTTTTTTTTGGTTTTGTTTTTGTTTTTTGTAGAACGAGGTCTTGCTGTGTCGCCCAGGCTGGTTTCAAACTCCTGGGCTCAAGCAGTTTTCCCGCCTCGGCCTCCCAAAGTGCTGGGACAACAAGCGTGAGCCACTGCGCCTGGCAGATGTAACCCCTTTGAGAAGTAAGACAGCTCTGCAGAGCCCAGAGTTGTGGGGACAGCAAGCGCAAAGTCCCCGTGGGTCATGGGGAGAGGCGGCTGGTAGGGCCACTCGCTTCCACTGCCAGGTTCCTGGGCTCACGTGTCCTCACGGGGGACACGGCGTCTAGAGGGGCCCTGGGCCCTAAGCGCCTACCACATCCTGAGAAAGCTCTGCGTCCTTCTGAGTGTGGCCTTGTGAGTAGGCGCTTCCTTGGAGCCTCCAGGAGGCAGGTCCAGTATTCTGTGGGGCTGGCTGTTCCTGGGCGGGGCGGGAGATAATGCAACCAGCAGACCCCAGGTCACGGGCTCATACCCACATCTCTGCTGCCAAGTGGCTCCCCTGGCTGGGTGCTATGTCGTATGAGACCACATTAGACGAGCTGCAGATTCTGAGGTTCCACGGGCAGGCAGGACAAGCCTGTACCGGGAGTAGCCGTCCCCCTGGGGGACAAACCGCTGGCCCTCGCGGAAAGGAGGGAATGCTGAGTTGGCGGACTACCAGGTGGCTGACATGTCCCCTGAGGAGTACCATGTCAGGGCTTCCAGTGAGTCGACTGCCAACAGGCTAGCCACATGGCCACACGGGGGCGGCAGCAGCTGAACTGACCTAGGTCGGTGCTACCTGCTGTCAGGAGATGCTACACACATGACAGGGTAGGGGGATGTTCTCTTTCTCTCCTTCGAGACCCGCCTTCCACCCTTCTGCTTCTGCCCTCTGGCCTTGACGAGGCTGGCCCCATGGACTGTAGCCGCTGGGCTCCCGTGCCCTGGAGGTCTGCTCAGCGGGAGACCCCAGCAGGAGGAAAGAGGCTGAACATTGATTCCCCAAGCTCCCTCCCTCCCAAGCCCTGGTTTGCAGAGGATGCGCCCCTCAACCAGAGGTCCTGCTTCCCCGGAGCTCACCTCTCTCAGACCTCCCAGCTCCCCAGGGTTCCAGCTGGGGATGGAAACGGCTTCCCATGGCAGACATTCCAGAGTCCGTTTCAGCCTTGCCGGCCGGCCTCCCTAAACCCCTGCCTTACCAAGTGACTCTACACTCAAGCTGTCTTCAGCCGCCCTTCCTGAGGGTGCTTTTCCTTCCAGGACCCCAAGGGACACAAGAGCGTTTTCTTTCTTGGCTCTTAAAAGGCATCGTAGACAGTAAATACTTCCTTCTTAATTTGCTAACTTTTTGTTGGGCACCATGTGTCAGAAACTGCTCTATTTTTTTGAGTTTGGAGTATCACTCTTGTCCAGACTGAAGTCCAGCGATGCAATCCCATGGCTCACCACAGCCTCAACCTCCTGGGCTCAGCCTCCCAGATAGCTGGGGCTACAGGCACATGCCATCATGCCCAGCTAATTTATTTTTATTTATTTATTTTTTGGAGAGACAAGGTCTCACTATGTTCCCCAGGCGGGTGTCGAACTCCTGGGCTCAAGCGATCCTCCCAAAGTGTTGGGATCACAGACGTGAGCCGCCGCGCCCAGCCCAGTTCTGTTATCTGAGGAAAAAGTAGTGAGCAAGACAAGGGGACAACGGTTAAAAGGCAACTTCAAAAACTTCAAACAGTGATAACT